TATGTCCGACACCAATCCACAAAGTCCTCCTCCATCTCACAAAGCAGACATAACGATGCCGACTACAGGAGGAAAGCCGCATCAGGGAGCATGTAAGCATCTCAGTGCTGGCAGGGGTCTCCACACAGGTGCTCCAGCACCCAGGGCTACATCGGGGTAGGTCCATGTGGCTTCTCCTTGGGGATGTCTTGCAAGAACTCAGCCTTGCAAGCTGAAGCAGGGAACTGGCTAAGGCAGCTGCACCCTGGTGCGACCATCAGAAAGCAAGAGACCCGAGAACTACAAAGGCAAGGCTCACTGAGCCATTTATCCCTCCACCCTTCAATTAATCCCACATGTGTTTATCCGCCAGATTGGCACAATAAACTAACTAACTCACCCTCCTTGAGCCTTGGCTATCTCACTTGTAAAATGGGGCTCTTGGTGCCTACTTCCTAGGTTGTGTGGGCATTTGATGAGGAAGACACTGTGAGCTGCCCAGCTTGGTGTCTGGGTCCCAGGACACCTGCATGTTGGGAGGCTGCAGTGTGGGAAACGGCCCTTCCCACCGGTCAGGCCTCACGCAGCAACCAATCCCCCAGGCAAGTGCTGGACATCCCCCTGATGACATCAACTGGGTCCCCTGGACACCTGAGTGGCACTGGGCAAGGTTTTTCCCATTTCCGGGCTTGCCTCCTCACCCAGACAACAGCCTGGCCCCTTTCCAGCTCTGAGATACGTTCAGCTTCTCAGCCTCCTCATAGACTCCCAAGGCACCAGGCTGGGCGGGTAGGGAGTGGCTGGCTCCCCCAAACCTTTGGCCATCGCCACAGCCCATCCCATGGCTGGGGCCACTCTGCAGCCTTCCCGCAAATGCTGTCAGCAGTCTGTCTGTCCTCACCACTCTCTGATCCACAGCTCCTACTGTTCTTGGGTCAAGGCCAACGGCAGCCCAGCTCCTCAGGCCCTGCGCAATCCCAGCCCTGCTTTTCCTCCCTCTGCTCCAGTGAGGCAGCTCCCGCTGGCTCCTGCAGGGCACCACACTCTTTTGTGGAGACACGGGGCTGATGTCCTGAGAGCAGGGTTGGGGGTTCTGTACCCCCAACCCTATTCTCCAAGCCCAGCCCAGCACCTGACACTTAACTGAGCTTCAAAACACCATTAAGTGAAGAGACGAAGGCAGCTGCTACCAGTGTGAGAAGGGACCTAACAGAGAAGTACAGGGGGCAGTAGAACCGTTTGCAGGGAACCAGATTGTCAGGTGCCTCCAGGCTCAGCCAGGTCCTTCCTCTGGGCATCCGCAGTCCCTGCAAAGGGTCCCTCATCACAACCTGCAGCCTGCTACTTGCAAGTACCAGGGCAGGCGGGCGGGTTCCTTCTGATCAGCCTTGTTCAATTGTAAGCACTACAAGAGGCTACTCTGAGGCCAGAGAGGTGACGGTAGGGGTCTTGAGGCCTTAGCCAAGTCCCCTGCCCCCTCCAGGCCTCAGTTTCCCTCCTGTCAAGTGGAAGTTTTCCATAGCCTAGCCCAGGGCGGCTAAGCCCCATTAAGCCTATGTTAGCCTGAGACCTGGTGCTCAAGGACTTAGCGGAATAACTGAATGGGTCAATTTTGGGCAAGTAGGTAGAAAGGGGCCAGCCCAGCAAGGGGTCGCCCCCTCCAGCGTAACCCAGGCTAACCAGGGCCAAAGGACCATGGCAGCCAGTCCTGAAGCCCTAAGCAGGGCCAAGTTCTCACAGCTGTGTCCAGCAGGGGCAGGCCCTTCCTGGGGCAACCAGGAGCCAGGATGCATCCCGCCATCCCAACCAGGGAGAGGAGATTGGGGCTCACGCAGACCTGCAGAGGCGCTGTAACATTAAAACTCCACAAAACCCCACAGCTGCTGGGTTGACTGACTCGTAGAGACCCACCAGAGATGAGACTGAACTCGACAGCCTCATCTTCTTCCCCCAGGGCAGTGGGTGGGCTCAAACTGCCACCATGTGGTTAGCAGCCCGGCTGTTCACTTGGCACTGGGCTCGGTGTCAAGCCTAGTGTGAACGGATCCCATTTTAGTGATGAAGCAACCGAGCTCGGTGAACTTCAGCCCCAATTTCGCTGGCCCCAGGCCCGACCTCTGCACCGCTTGGACCAGATCAGCTCCCACGGGGCGTTTGATGGGGGCCCCCAACTGGAAAACCCGGAGCTGCCAAAGGATTGCTCCAGAAGTCACGATCCCCGGGGCTACCTGTGCCCTTAGTGGGCCCCCTCTGCTGGGGCCCCCAGAAGCCACCCAACAACACCGGGCTGCCTGGTCTCAGCCTGCACACTCCCGGCCACGGGCAGTTCTTTCTCGCACAAGCAGCCCCCGAGCACTGTGGAAGGAAGCACGCACTCCCCTCCGCGCCGAGGGGAGTCCGGCCTCCGCGGAAGGGCGGGCGAGAAGGGGGCAAGGCCGAGGTCAGGGATCCTCGCCTGCATCCCTACAGCCCACCGGAGACCCGAGACCCGCGGGAGCGCCCCGGGCGCGCAGTCGCAGAGAGCGCGAGCGAGCGGCTCCCAATTTCGCCCAGCTCATCGCCGCGCCACTGCGCGTGCGCGGCGCGTGCGCCGGCCGAGCCCCTGCGAGGCTCCCTATTTGACAGGTCCCACCCGGCTCCCCGGCGCCCCTTGCCCAGGCTGGCGCGGGCCGGAGCGCCCGTGGCCGAGGGGCCGGTCCCGGGAAGGGACCCTTGGAGCTGGGGACGCCTTTTACCTGCAGGATATTCGACGTGGGTGAGGGTCACCGGCCGCCATGAAGCGGGGAGCGAGCACTGCCCGTCCGCTGCCATCTTACCCGGAGACCGGGCTGCGGCGAGCAGCCAATGGGGAGCCAGGGGGGCGGTGGTTCTGACCTATCACGCCAGGGAGGCGCCGGGCACCCAATCAGCGCCCAGCACAGGTAGTAGCGCAGCCAATCAGCGTGCAGGCCGTGTGGCTGGCCCGAGCGACGAATCAGAGGCCGAGGCTCCTCGCAGCCAGCGAGCCGAGCAAACCGGTACCCAATCCCGGGCGAGCGCTGGTCGCTGCCTGGCCATTCCGAAAGGAGGCGGGTTCCAACGCAAAGTAGGGAACGGAGCAGCCAATCAGGGCGCGAGGCAGGCTCGAACCGTGGGCAGGGCAAGCCAATCAGGTGCCAGTTTGGGAGGCGTGTTGAACTTTGGTGGGAGCTTTGGTTTGGCTGGGACCTGCAGCCCTAAATGAGGGTTGCCCCGTACTGGGAGCTCGCCCGAGGCTGGCGGGCCCTGGGTGCCCGTCTGTGCGTGTGCTCCAAGCTGAAAGGCAACGTCAGCACCATGGGGTGTGAACTAAGTAAACTAAGGCCAGAGACCAAAACAAACTCACTGCCTTCGACTGTACTTTGCAGAAGTAGAAAGCCTCATCTGTGTCCCAAGGAACTACCGGTGGATTCGAACTGCTGACTTTGTGGCGTGCAGCCCAATGTGTAACTAACTCTACCAGGGCTCCCTCTTTTCTCTGCTCTACGTCTGACAGGCAGAAAGGCACACAAAGTACACTGTTACATGGGGAGTTGATCCTCACAATAATAGTTGAATTGGTAAGTGATTATATATTTAACCACTCTATTTATCCATAGGTAGGTGCATTTAAGTACTGGGCGGGCGAGGGAGGGAACTCCCAGGGCAGGTAGCACAGTAGACTTCCTAAACAAGTTCATAGACTGGGAACTTCATTGCCTTCCTGCCGTTTTTTCATTCATTCAGCAAAGACTTGATTCAGGCACATTTGTGCTACTTAATGAGCCCTCTTTCCCACCCACACCTCCGTTTCTCCAAAACAGTGCTTCCCTTTCCTGCATAGAGAGCTGGCCTCGCGGTCTCCTGCTGCATGCATCTTCCTCGGATGGATTGCTGACAGTCCAAGTAAAATGCCCGCTTCTTGTCATTCAGTCTCTGCACAGGTTAGTCCACTGCCCACAACACCCCAGCCCTCAAGGCAGCCCCACTCTGCCTGACCCAGCCCAGCGCAAGTTTTCATTTCACTAGAAGGGTTCCTCAGCTAGCTGAGGGGGCCTCTGCCGGGTGCCCACCATTTCATGTCCTCCCCTACCGCAGCAGACCCAAATCCTCACAGATGGGCCAATAGGTAACATCATGGGCTTCGTCTTGCTTGTGGTCACCATCAGTGCTCATGGAAGCAGCCGTCAGGAAATCCAAAGACAAGTGGCCTTAGGTAAATCTGCACAAGACCTCTTGTGAAGACTGAAGTGCAAGGGTGTTATTAAGGTGCACCTGACCTAAGCGATGGTCCTTTCAATGGTCTCTTATGCGTGTAAAAGTTGAACAATTTAGGGAGGAGTCAAGATGGCATCCAGGTACAATCACCCACCTGGCGTTCCTGTTGTTAAACCAGAACATTCAGAGATAGGCAATGGGAAGCAAGCTCCAGGAGAGAGCAACGGACAGACAGTTCCAGAGGGACTTGAGGGAGGAGGGGGTGGTGGTGACG